GCCAAAACCCAACCTCTTTCACTGAGGCAACACATTTTGTCTCCCAACTACAGTAAGCAGAATCTCCCCATGATGCCCTGCTCTGCCCGGCAAGCGTAACTTGCCTGGAGTGCCTGCATGCAATTAAGAGCAGAAAGGAGAGTTGCTGAAATATTATTGCCATAGTTCTCGTTTGTGTGGGAGCCCTCAGCCAAAGGAACTCAACGTATTCCTTCCTTTTGTCTTAATTTACTTTGTGCATAGCAGGTGACCCTAGTTATTAATTGCACATCTTCTGGTCCCCGTTGCTTCCACAGCCAGTTAATGAGTGGAAGGCACCTGCTGTTGCCCAGGTGCCTTAGACAAGACACTGCTGTACCCAGATGCTTCTCGAGCACCTCGCTGTGGGGCTGGAGTGGTGTGAGACCTGTCATCAATGCTTTCTGCTTGTTCCCAGCTGAGGAGGAAGGGCGGGCAGGAGAAGCATACATTTCCTTCACTACCAGACCAGGGCATCCAAATCTTGCCTGGAGGTCATCTTGTCATCGTTGAGCACCACGGAGCCGTTGCTCATTTAGTACGACTCAACAGGTCCATCATTAAGACCTGGTTCAATAGTGCCCAGGCACACTTTTAAGGCTAAGTTTTAATTGTGATGCTGTGGGTGGAATGTGCCCAGATGTGCAATTGGTGTCTCAGCACAAGAGGTGTCTCCATCCTCCGGTTTAAAAAACTTTGTTGAGTAAGACTCGGCCCATACTCAGGGAGCTGAGGACCTACAGGAGGAATGGACCAAACCACCAACTTAGGTCGTGGTCACCAACAAACAAGAGTCAGTGAGGGCAGCCGAGAGGTTTTATAGATGTTTACTGAAAGTTTTGACACAGATACCTCCATAGACACCTGTAGCATGGTAGCAGTAACCCGTTTCCCTACAGACACAAACAGCTCGATCCTGTAACTCTGTCCTCTCGCAATTAGGTGGTACTTGAAAAACCTGCACCACAAAAGCTCTTCTTCTGTTCACTTTCCAGGTAGATTTAATTTATGGTATCATGTATTTCAGTAAATTATTGATACAGTCGCTGTGCAGAGGAATAGAAACAATAGAGTCACGTGTTGCATGGCTCCACCTCACCGGTTTTGTTTCGTAAGTGCCTGGGCTTCGCTCTGACTGTTTTATTGCAGGGAAAAAATAGTTTTATCCTAGGGATGTTCCAGCCTGGTGACAGAAAGGGATGGGCTGTGGTGGCAGCGCCAGTGCTAGCTGGAGCACCCTGCCCTGTGTCGATGAACACGTAGTCTAGAGGCAGGGCTCCATTTTGATAAGCCAAGGAAACATATACATGAGAAAAATTGCTCGGTACCAGAACGCAGTTTCCAGTTGACAGCCATGGCTTAGCTACATCTCATTGCTTTTAAATGAAAAATGTTTTAGGAATCTCTGTGGCTCGTGGATCTAAGTTAGAATCTTCTCACATTTACACTGCAGGTGGCTTAATGAGTTCAGCAGACTCACCCTGGACCGAGGTGAGACTCTGGCCAGGTTTTCACATCCATAGGAAGTAGCTTAAAAATGTCTTCTATATTTCTTGACTCTGGATCCTTTTACATCCCTAGATCTGCTGTCTCTCACAAGAATGACAATTCCAGGCCCAGCCATGGCTTTATATTTTATAGAAAGTGCCAATCTGGGAGCAATGATTTTTTAAATTTTTTTGAATCAATGTGAAAGACACAGATGCTACCCACCTGCTAATGTTTTTTTTTTTTTGTGACATAGGGATCCTACCACCACACACAGATGAAGAAGTATTTGATTCTTTTTGCATTCCTACATTCTTATCTTTAAAATGTCCTAATAATCCAAACAACAACAACATGTTGCTTAAACATATACCTTATGATGTAGCTCAGGTGCTCTGAAGGCAAGGTTTTGATTGTTTGAGGGCTAAGAAGTCTGAGGGACCAAGTATATTCTTTTATAGACTACTCTGTTATCCTCATTTCATTGTTGTTTTTCACAAAGACCCTGGGGTTTTATTTATGTTTGTGTAAGTTCTTGCCATCCTATTTGCTTGAACATTGTAGGGCTTTACAGGAAAACCATTAATTTAGCCACTGAGAGGTTATCCTGTTCTTGTTGAATTTTCTAGAAAAACTCCTATTGCCTTCAAGGGAAGATGGATGAAATCTTATATGTGTGTGATGTCAGAACAGAAAAAACAGACTGTCTGGTGCTCAAGAAGAAAGTAGTGTCAAGTCAGCCTATAAATACCTCCTTTAAAATATTTTGAGCTGGAATCCTTTCTGATATGATCCTATCTGAGACTCTGAAGTTCCATAAAGAACACATTTTCATAATTTTCATACGATTCTAAAAACTTATAGAAGAGTAAGATATGTGACTCCTGAATAAGATATGACTCCCGAAGGAGAGTGATTTATGTTTTAAATTGCTTCACTTTACTGCAATATGCACAAAGAAAGAGATTCTTTTTAGGGAGAGTTAATTGATGAAACAAGTTAGAAAATTGGGGGATTCAAAATATAAGGTAGTCACATTTGTTCTGCTTTTGGTATGTGGTCAAAAATCCCACTTCCTGGGAATGTCATACTTGTCTAGAGGGGAGGCTGGGGCACCTGGGAGCAAAGTTGTACATCTCTGTGCCTGACTTGCGGAAGTAAGGATCACAGGTACCATTAAGTCCACCGAGTTCATTTTATCTGAATCACAGGCCATTAGTTTCCAGGCAATTACCCCTGCAGGGAGCCCAATGACTTGCTTTGGCTAAGTTGCATCTTTCAGGAGGACATCAAGCCTTGACGTAAACAGATGGAGAATCCAGCGGGTTTTCTGATAGCTCCTTCATCAGGTCATCAGCCCTCCACTGTTCAAAAATGGGATCCCTCACTTAAATCAGAACGTTTTGGCTTTAGCATCTTGGCACTAGTTCATTTTGTGACTTTCTCTGGCAGACGGAAGAATAACTCAGTGCCTAGTAATTTCCTTCTGTAGAGGCTTTTAGATTCAAGAATCAAGTCACCTCCCACCCTTCTTTTTAATGATAGAAGTTTCTCAGGTGCTGCAGTTCCTCACCTATAAGGGCCTTTCTCCAGTCCTTGGTAGATTTTGGCTTTTTTTTTTTTTTTTCTTCCAATTTTATTGTAATATTTGTTGATGTCTACTGTACTCCAGCAGTCTCAGTTTCCAATAGATGAGGTAAAATTTCCTTCCTATGTGCCCCTTACTGAGCAGCAATTGAACGAGGTTTGGGTTTTTTTTTCCTCAGTCTTGTTCAATGGCTTGTCCTATTGCAGATATTGCATCCATCCTGTCTGCTCAGATATGTACTGTACATTTGACTTTACTTTGAGAGGACCCGAGATTCTCTGTTGACATCATTTACTACTTATCAGTCTCTGTTATGTCAGCAAAGTTCAGCATCTTTGACAGATGAAAATGGGAAATAACACCTGGGCCTTGGACCTCTACAAAAACTCCTTACTTCTCAGTTCTCATGCAACAAGGATTCCCCACGGAGCAGTATGTTTTAAGAACAGGTAATTAGTTTAATCTAGGTAATTTCTCACTCTAGTATTGTTTTTGGCTTGTTTAACGTTTTTTGTTTGTTTACAAAATGTTGTTCACCTACGGTAAATCATACGCCTTAGCATTGTGTACCAATAAAACAAACACATGTAAATATCTTTAGCAATCAGACTTTCAGTCTCATGACAGTTTTTGGGCAATTAAACAAATGCCTTGGCATGCTAAAACGTACTTGCCTGCTACTTAGGGACACAGGGAGGATTAATTAGGTAATATGCTAGATTAGATCAGACATGGCCCTTTTGAGCCAAAAGTCTTCTCTGGGGTTGACTGGAGTCATACTGCTTCCTACTCCTCCCCAGAGCCGGGGCTGGTTTAGGAAGCCCTGTGTTAGATCTCTCTCAGTACAGCCCGTGACAGGAAAGCGCTAAGTCAATCTGTATAAACTAGCATTTAATAGGCCACAAAACCTGAGCCGGAAAGCAATTCTGAGAAAAGAGATTAGGATTTTCAATATAGTGATGCTGAAGCGCACCTAGCCGGGGCTGAGGCGGGCAGACAGGCGGTGTTAGGCTGTTCCAAAATACCCGTGTGGAATCGATAAGCAGCACCGAGTCGGGGGGTGACGTAAAAAGGAAGCTAACTCCATTACCGGGATCTAAGTCAGAGGGAGTTTTGCGGGCGCCGGCGGGAGGGCAGAGCTGTAAATCGAGTCCGTGTGCGTGGGCCAGCCACGGCCATTGGGAGGGGGGGGGGGCGGGGGGGAGAGGCCCCGTCGGGGCTTCAGCACCGCGGACAGCGCCCGCACGGCCCCACGCGTGATCCGGCTGCAGCCCGCGGCCCTCGCCCGCCGCCAGCACCCCCCGGGGCGGGGGGGGGTGGGTGGGTGTCACCTGCCCTCGCCCCCTTGCCCTCCTCCCTCACGGTTTCTCTTCATCTCGGGTTTCTGTCCTGCCTATCCCCCCCACCTCCAACGCCCGCAGCGCCCCGACCTTCCCCTCACGCGTGTCGGGCCGTAACCTGTAGCGAGAGCTGTCGCTCCGACCAGACCACCCGCTATTTCTCGCCTCACTCCGTTTTTTCCTTGTTTGCTATCAATTTCGTGCCGTCGGCTCTAACGCCCCCCCCCCCCCCCCCCACTCCGCTGAGTGCCCCCCACACTTTGTAACCACGGGGGCCGCAGCCTGGCCGGGGCAAGCGGGGTGCCCAAGCGGGCTGGGGTCCCCCGGGGTCGGTGCCCCGTGGCCTCGCCAGCCCCGTGTGCGTGGGGAAAGGGGGGGGGGGGGGGGATGCCCACGGCCACCCTCACCCTCCTCCCCCCTCGAGGCGCCGGGCCAGACCTCTCCTGGGCTCACAGCCGGGTCCCCGCACCCCGAGAGGCTCCGGACCCCCCCCCACCAACACACACCCCCACCCCGCTCCCTCTTTTCCCTCCCTCCATCCCCCCCTTCCCCCGCGGGGCACTCACCGCCGGGCGCGGAGGGCAGCGGGCGGGCGATGCTGCGGAGCCGCCGCGGGCGCGCACCCCGGCGGGGGCGGCTGCGCTGCTGCAGCCGGCGGGGGGGGGGGGGGGGGGGGCGGGTTTTGGGGGGGGGGGGTGGGGGGGCTGCGCTGGGCACCGCCGGCCCCGGCTCCCGGCCGCGCACGCAGGGCGGAGGGAGGGATGGAGGGATGGAGGGAGGAGGGATGGAGGGAGGAGAGATGGAGGAGGGATGAAGGAGGGAGGGAGGGAGGAGGAGGGAGGGAGGGAGGGAGGAGGGAGGGAGGGAGGGAGGAGGGCGCTGCAGCTCCTCAATTATTCAGCGCTTCCCCCTCTCTGCGCCCTCCCCGCCTGCCGCATGTGACCGCCCGGCAATACCCACGGGTCGAACCGAGCCGTGCCGGTCCCGGGAGACCTGCTTGCACGGAGCTGCTACCCCCCACGGCCACGCTCTCACCCATCGAGTCCTCTCTGCTAGCCCAAGTGTTCTGAGGGCTGCCTCCCCCAAATTGCCTGGCTGCTGAAAATGAACTCCCCTGGCTGCCTCCTCCAGAGCAGGGTTTTCCTCACCCACTTTGTTTTCTCCTTGAGCCGCACTGTGAGATTTGGGTGCTAATACTGTAATCCCGGAACAGGCAGAATTAAGACTAAAATAATGCCTCGTGTATTGAAGCGTGCGGTGTTGTCCAGCCTAGCTGGGAGGAGTTAGGTATCAGGTGCAGGATATAGTTTATATTTCAGATCATAGCTGCTTCTGAGGATAGCTGGGATTTATGTTCACGATTTTTCCATTACATTTTTCTTTCTTGATTCTCCTCACTGTTTTGTTCTCGCTAGAAGCATTTTCTCTCTCTCTATCTGTATTCTTACCATTTTGACATTGAATCCAAAATGGTTTCATCTCCAGTGATGTCTGGCGAGGATCAGATTTCAGTCTCCGTTACACCTTCATGCTCTAGCTTCTAACAGGACCCGTTCCCAGATGCGAGGTGTGCTTCCAGTGGAGAGGAGTTACTCATTCTCTAAACACTGAAATAAATGTCTGCTGGTAAAAATGAAAGGTGTGATCCCTCAGCTTCAGTTCACTTCGGGATGCCAATATTTGCCTAATGTGAGTGACCTCGGCAGGAACTGCATCAATAGCAGCGACCTTTTGGGGACATGCAGACAGCAACACTACACAGATAAACCTAGCCAGGATGTCTGTGATCCTGTCTTTGGGCAGGACAATGGGCCACATGTCATCTCTGATTTCCTTTCCCGCCTTGATTTCTGTGGTATTTTTTGTGGCTTTCCAGATGAGTGCCATCGCTTTCCCAGTTTCTTATGGGACTTCTTCCTTTCTCCAGCTTAGCTTTGCCTCCCTCTCTTCCCTCCCTCGCAGCAGTCTCTTTGCAGCCCCTCTCTTCCCAAACAAGAATAGAAAAGACCTCTCCCAGGTCAGCAGAAGGTGTCACCACGGGGTGACACAATGCTCTGCTCCCTTCCTGCCGCTCTAGCCAGCACGCTTCACACCGTAGCAGAAAAAGCCTCGCTGGAGCCAAAGTGCAGCCAGCTGATTACCCTCCTCCCAACCAGCAGTTTTGAAACCTCTGGTTTTATTATTTCCCTTATTCTTTCATTGCCTGAAAGCAACACTCAGAGCTGCAGCTGCTCTCCTGTCCCTTTCTGTAGTCCCCTCGCTTCCCATTTGGTTGTTGTTTCTCTTTTCAATCACTGCCTTCCCCCAGCTGCTTTTGCTCAGTCTGTGGACACTAGACGCAGCTGTGGATGGCTCAGGAGCTTCCCTTTGACCGAATCTGAGCAAAAGAGAAAAGCTTCTCCATTTGCTCTTGCATCTTGTTTTGCATTACTTTTAAGACCGTGATGGACTCTAGCTGGCAGCACCCCCAACCTTTTGTGCTCACATCCAGCTCCTCTGCGGTAGCAGAGTGTGTGAGTAGAGGACATGGGGGCGTGTTTCTGAAATGATTGTCAGTGTGGACAAGTTTTAATGGCACTTATTTGCGTGCGTGGGTGCAGAGTCATTTGAGTCCTGTTTACTCCTTGGGGCTGGTGTACTGGAGCGTGTCCTGAGGGCTCACCCACAGCCTGGTGCTGTCAGCACCTCTGGCCTGTAGCAGTTTGGTTTGTATCAGCAGAGAGGGGCTTTTTTGCCCTTTTAGCAAATACTTGTAGCACCCAAGTTAGTACAAACCATCGTGTGGTACCACAATACCACCCCTGCCTTCCACCTTCCCTCTACTGCTCACAGCTCTTGCTCCAGCAGACTTCACTGTACAATAGTTTTCTAGACTCTATTGCAGTCCTACCTTCATCTACTTTTTATATCTTTGCCTCTGTTCTATCCAGTGGTACTTACTGTTAGCTGGATGAAACAACCTGCCACCACCTGGAGTAATAAAAGGGGCAAATGTTTTTTCAGAGGCTCACTTAAGATCTTTCTCATTAATCCTTACCCTGTTCTCATGAGTTCTGCAACTTCCAATCTTGCAGGAAGATTCATTTCTACAGCTGCCTCTCTAATGGTGCTCCTCAAGTTGATTAAATGAGAGCCTGTCATCTAGATAAAGAACTGGATAAGGCCAAGTTACCCTCTAGACAAGTCCCATCAGCAAGATCACCCTCAGATTAGGGTGAAACTTCCCATAACAGCCAAGCACATGATGATACTTCTGTGGCATAATTTCCTCTGTCCCCTTTTGATCTAGTTTCTAGATCAAAATAATTTCTGCCCATTTTTCTGTAACAGCAAGTGGCCGTCTGACTAGTCATTTAAATACTTAATCCTATTTTGAATTTGACCAAGGCTTTGGCCTCAGTAGCACCTTATAGCGGGGATCTCCACCAGCTGCTGCCTCATTATCTCAGCTATTCTGCTCATCAGCGTCAAATACAGCCTTTCCAATTTCATGGGACATAACTTTCTTTTTCTGCAACTCTGAAAACGTACCGGCAGAAGCTGCCCAATTGATTTTCTTTCTGTCTTTTATTAAAATGTTTGTTTACCTCTCTTATAATCCCCTCATACTTGTCTCATCCGTGACTAATTGTGCTGTTTAAATACCACAGTTCCTGCAGTTTTCTGGGCTACTTCTTCATCTACAGAGCTTTTTATTAGGACAGTCAACACACTCTTGGCTTGCTGGCATCCAAGTCATCCTAGAGCTTCCAGCATCTTCACCTCATTGGCCCTTTTCCCTTCATGAAATCTCCTCAGAATGGAAAGGCTCATCTCCAATTCCTTTCTTTTGGTAAGTTTTCCTTAGTGCTGTTTCTCAAAATGTTTTGACATCTTCAAAACTGAGTAATGGGCTGTTCAACAGAAATAGCTTGGGTTCCCCTTGGGTTTACACTGGACTCCCAACATGTGTGTTTGGTCACCCCATCACATTTTTGCTGGTTTTGCAAAAGAGCACTGATTTGCGTTACATTTCCCAAGAAAAAGCTACTTGAAACAAATTAAATTGTAGAAGAAAAACTATTTTGGAAGGAAATCAAATTCCAGTCAGAAATTGCATTTGAAATTAGCATGACAATTGAAAATTATTATGTATTTTCAAACGTTTGCTCCTGAACTCCACTGAGCACTAACAGGGAGAGGCCGCAGTATCTTTCCCTCGCCATTTCTGTGTGTGCTGGCTGTGGTCCCTCCAGCAGCTCCTGTTAGATGAGCGGGGCTGAAGGCACAGTTTCCATCACACACTTATAATTTGTGAAGGCAGTTGGAGAAGCTGGCTCTTGGGAAATGTTGGTATTTCATAGAAAAGTACTCCTTTTGTCTGCAAGCACCAGGCTGCACAGGGATATTGTATTAAGCAGCCAGTGGGATGTAGTGATGGGAGCCGGTAAGATCTCCACCTGCTCACCCTGCATGTCTGATAACTCGTGTCCACGACTTTGGCAAGTGTTCTTGCTCCTCTTTGGTCTGGGGCATCACGAGATAACTCGCTGAACCGCAGTAGCTCCCAGACATCCATTGCAAAGTTCACTTGATGGTGTCCATCTGAGCAGAGACCAGATGGAGCCCTGCGGAAGGGCTGGTATTTTTTAGAAACATGTCCAGAATGCTTGGCCATTCTTTTTCTTTCTTTTGCATCAGTTAGAACCTCAGTGAGTACCCTATAGGGGTCAAAGTGGTGGAGACATTAATGTAGGAGGATAAGAAGAGGGATTAATCTTGCTGTCTCATCTCCTGTTGATGACTAATGCTACAGTGAATACCAGTGTGAGGAAGGATAGTCCTGCAATTAAAGCCCTGACTTGAGACTTAGAAAACCTCACTCAAGTTACTGGCTCTGCAAGAGGTTTTCTGGGCAAACTTCGTTGTTCTTTGTAGTCCTGATGCTGTGAAATTATATTGCCCAGTCTCAGTGGGTGTGTTGGCTGCATAGACTGTAATTTCTTTGGGTGAAGGGCTGTCTCCATGTGCTTTATGGGATCCTGACCTCATTTAAGCAATTCAGCTGAGCAGATGCAATTAGCTGGGCAGATGGAAGTAAGTTCTTGAAGTGGTGAGCTGTACCTCCCTGCTCTCTGGCCCTGTGAGGTGTTACCCTGATGCACAGGGACTGCAGCCCTGACACAGCTGGGCAGGGAACAAGACCAGTGCTCATGGGGCACCCTCTTCATTATTTGTCACATCTGTAGTGGCACTGGCCATGGGCTTAATTTCTGCTTAGGGCAATGGAAAGGATTATTCTTCTCTGCAAAGCGGCATCTTGGACAGATTAAAAGAAAACAGCCATGTGGATGTTTCTCATAAACTCCTATCAGGGTGCTTCCCCTCTGTGTGGGAGGGGAACCTCAGTGGTGTGTGGGTATAAACAGAATTTGGAGTAAAATGCCAGCACTGCAAAGCTTGGGAATGCTTTGCCGTTTGATTTTATCCAGCTAAGGTTTCTGCCAGCCTTTCTTCCTTGCTCAATATTCTCCATGCCAGGTTGAGCAGAGAAGACGGGTAATGCATCCACCAGACACGTTCCCTGTTCAGACAGAGTTGGGGTGACAGAGCATTAAAAGAAATCCCTTCCAAAGCCATATGGGAATGTA